GTGCTTGTGTGTATCTATCTATAATATGACTTGGATGAAGGCTACCATTCTCTGACTCCTGGACTACCTACACGGTTTGGGGCAGCCATGCTGTATATATTGACAATATATAAATTCAGCTTTACTGCCATGTAACTAGTAGACCGCTCATCATCTTCTCTTGGACTCTCATGATTGTGATACTTTCTCACTTTTTCATGCACTCGAGTGTGTATATACCAATACTGATCTCTCCCCTGTATTTTTTTTCTTCTTCTAGAGGTCAGACCCGCAGCTCCTCGCCCAATTCTACTATGCAGATGAAGAACTCAACCAGGTGGCTGCAGAACTGGACAGCCTGGATGGGCGAAAGGACCCTCAGAGGTGTACGCTGCTTGTTAACCAGTTCCGCTCCTGTCAGGTGAGGTCATGCTTCTTCAATAAAGACTTGTTCAGACTGTGCTGTCTTGAGTTATCAGTGCAGGAAAAGTCACCTTTTTAAGTGACAGGTTCTCTTAAATGCCAACAGCACTGTTGATTCTGTTCACCACACTCGCCTGCCACTATGCTCCTCTGTTGCAGTCTTCAGATATACCTGGTGCTGATTCTGGGTATGGTGGATTATGTGACCCTTTTCCCCTTTCACCCTCAATAGAAATAGTCCTGCTGTTTAAAAACTGTTATTTTACATGCGTTGTGCTGGTGTCTGCTGAAAATTGTACTTTTAATATATTTTTATGGTTCAATGACCTGCATTTTCTCTTTTAATCTGGCCATACACTGCTTTTTTTTTTTTTCCTCAACCCGGGAGCTGAGGAAAAAAAATAGAATCGGTTCCTCCAACGCTTACAAGCGTTCATATGAATCCCCCTTTGTTTCCTCTGTATTTTGGCAGCGGCCAACGGATGCTGTCAGAATACACAAACGGTGCTTGCAGCTCATTTGCTGCCCGCTCTGTTCATGCTAAGGTTTTCCAAACGGCTGCTTCGATTTTCTGATTGAGAAAAACCGTCCGGAACGGTGTTGACAACGGTATCCACTAGGGCTGCAACTAACTATTTATTTTCATAATCTATTAGTTGCCCAATGTATTTTTTTAAACTAGTCGATTTGGTTGCATTAAAAATCAATCTCTATCTCTCTCCCTCCTCTCCCAACCAGCTAACCGATAATGAGCATAGTTGCCAACTATTCTCATCGATTGATATCGATTTAATCGATTAGTTGTTGCAGCCCTAGTATTCACTGTGCAAATTTCAGCTAGTTCATCAAGAATCGGCTGAAATTCACAGTGTATGGCCAGCTATTAAGCCCATTTCAATCCAAAATGGGTTCTTAGAGGGGGTAACAACTTCTGCCGGTTTTTATTGCTGTCCCTGTTTAGATTTCCCTTCCTGTACTGACACTGGTCACCTGTACAGTAGGTAAAGAAAAGTTTCATCACTGGGCATAGTGAATAGGGGAAAAAAAAGGTTAATGCCCTTCTAGCCCTTCCCACTGCATCCAAAACTCGAGTGTTATCTGGTGGAGTCGGTCTATAAAGCAGTTGTAAATTCCAAAGTATAATATAATCCGTGCAGATAAAGAGCAGTTAGGTTTGTTTAACGTGATATACAATTATCAGAGTTGTAAAGTCCCAGCATATCCTATCCTGTTATGACATCAGCATTGTAATAGGAATACATACTGGAGTTGTGTCTGATAATGCAATCAAAGCTCACGTGAAAAAATAATTAAAAAGTGCGGCCTTGCGTCTGCCCATCACTTTCATCAACTTCCTGGATTCCCAGTGTGTTTTGTGTGTCTTTCCCTGCTACTTGATGTGATGCAATCTCCATTTCTCAAGACCAGATATCCCATCATGCATTGCTTCCAGCAAGCAATGATAATGTTACATTGTTCAGATGTTAAGTTGTAGTTCAGAGGGCAGGCTCTGAGAGTGGGGATAGTTCATAATCACAGGGTTGAGTGATATTGTGTCAGTGCATTGAGGAAGTACATCCTATGGGCATCTTCAGTAAGTTTACAAAGTTCTAGATGGATCTGGTTATTAGGAGTGGGATAGAACTGAAGGAAATACAGATTTATTTTGCGTTTTTCACCATTAATACCCTTTAAGCGAACTATATTAATAAGGTCCTCTCTGCCCCTAGTCTGTGAAGGAGCAGTAGTAAGCTCATCCCTCTGTTTACTCCGCTTTTTCCTACTGTGAACATGTTCCTGGTCAGTGTCTCACTTCCCCTCCTAGCTTAAAGGAGAACTATGAGGTGAGCGCTTTTCACTTGCCTCCATAGTTCTAGCCGACCTGTGACAATGAGACTGTCACAGGTTGGCTCAGTAGGTTGGGAGGTGAGCAAAATAGAAAAAATTGAGGATACAAGTCCTGTGTGGCAGCGCTCTCCTGAGGGGTTGTTTTAGAAGAGGGGGTCTGACTTATCAGAATTTTTGGTTGAGTGGGGGCTGTGTTGGGGAGGATGGTGTGGAGGTGGGGGTGGCGTGCGGCTTCAGATCAAAAATGGACCGGGGTGTCCACTTGGTATGGGTGTGAAACAGAAAAAAAACAACAGAGTCTGAGGCGCAACTGCCCTTGGAGATTAGGACAGGTGAAGGTATAGTGAGAGTTAAATGGGCTAAGGCCTGCAGGTAAATGCTGCCCGGGAAGCGATTTTTGTTAATTTTTTTTCCTCCCGCAAGATGTCTGTGCTGATGCGATGGGCGGCTGGTTTCGGGGTCGTGATTGGAGGTGCTGATGACCGGAGCTGCAGGGTGATGTGGTGCCGGCGGGAGGGCTGATGGGCGGCCGGTGTTGTACTCGGAGGGCCGTGGGGAGATCCTTTCAGTGACGGTTCCAGTGGCCGTAGTAGGAGGGCGACGTGTTGCCGGACGGAGATGTAGAATTAGTTTGCTTTGGGGATCAGACAAGTCCTGTCTGAGAGAGCTTCATCTGGCTGTTTACATGCTAACAGTTTTCCCTCTCGTGTGCGGCGCTCAGCGCGCTCACGAGAGGGGGGAGGGGCAGGACGTCTTAAGACGCCCACCCGCTCTGAGCAGACTTCCGTCCGGCCGTTCACAAACGCCCATGGACGGAAGGTGGTTAAACATAATGGATGCTGCTCCTTGATAAGTGAATTAAACATTTGAAATGGCCTTTTGACTTTAATATCACTTTAATTCTGAAACAAACTAAAAAGTAATCCTAATATAGGTGCCATCACTCCAGTTAAGCCAGCTCTGTTGGGCAAAACGGCTTCAAATAAAGTTTTTGAGTGTTTTTTGGTTTTAAGGATAATTCAGTTAATATGATCAGTTAACACTGTATATGATTTTTATGTTACAGTGCACATTGGGAAACGTTGGTGCAGTCTAACCACTTGACTCTTTATTGTTCACTTTTCTAATTCTATGTTCTATCTATATACTTTAGGACATCATCCATGCCTGGACTTGTAATTGCCATTCATTTCAAAAACAAAATAAGATGCAATTTGAGATCAGATCGCCACTGTCCAATGAACTGCCCCTTTTATTATAGTACCTGATCCTCCATCACACTTGTTACTTTCCTCTTTTGACCCTGTCACCGCAGAGGAGGTTACTAAGCTTCTCTCTGACACCCAACTCACCACTACTTCGGTCACTCTCTTGCTCTATCCTAGACTCTCCTACTCACATTTTCAATATTTCCCTCTCTACTGGAATCTTTCCTACCCCTCTCAAACATGCACTAGTCACCCCAATACCCCAAAAACCTTCACTTGACCCAACCAACCTCAATAATTTCAGTCCCATCGCCTTACTCTCATTCACCTCTAAACTACTAGAACGCCTTATCTACAACCGCCTGAGTTGCCACATCGCTAATAACAACCTTTTGGACCCCTTTCAGTCTGGCTTTCGCCCCAAACACTCCACTGAAACCGCCCTCCTAAAACTCACCAATGACCTAATAACGGCTAAAAACAGGAGCCATTATTCCTTACTCTTGCTATTAGACCTCTCTGCTGCTTTTGACACTGTTGACCACCCGCTGCTCCTCAAAACTCCACTCACTTGGCTTACAAGACTCTGCTCTCTCATGGTTCTCCTCCTACTTATCTATGCGCTCCTTTACACTTACACTTCACTTACAATTCTAACTCCTCTCGTCCTCTTTCTATAGGGGTCCCCCAAGTATCTGTCCTTGGACCCCTCCTCTTCTCCATCTAAACCTCCTCCCTTGGTCAACTAATAACCTCACATGGCTTCCAATACCATCTCTATGCCGATGACACTCAAATGTATCTTTCCCCTCCACAACTCCCCCCCTCAGTGTCCTTGCGTGTCACTAATCTACTAAATGACATATCAGTCTGGATGTCACAACATTTCTTAAAACTCAACCTTTCAAAAACTGAGCTCATGATATTTCCTCCACCCCGTGCACCTTCTCCCCACATTTCAGTTGAGATTGATAACGCAACTATCCAAACCTCCCCTCATGCCATGGTCCTAGGTGTCATCCTTGACTCGGACCTCACCTTTTTTCTGCACATCCAATCGCTATCCAAATCCTGCCGCCTTCACCTTTGCAACATCTCAAAAATACGCCCCTTCCTCACCAATGAAACTGCAAAACTACTCATACACTCCCTTGTTATCTTTCGTCTTGATTATTGTAACTCCCTCCTCATTGGCCTACCTCTGCACAGGATATCCCCCCTTCAGTCTATCATGAATGCAGCTGCCAGAATCATTCACCTTACCAACCACTCAGTGTCTGCAACCCCCCTCTGCCAATCCCTACACTGGCTTCCACTCGCCCAAAGGATAACATTCAAAATATTAACAGTCACTTATAAAGCCATCCACAACTCCGCCCCCGGATATATCTCAGACCTTGTCTCAAAGTATCACCCTAACCGCCCCCTCCGCTCATCCATTGACCTCCTGTTTTCCAGCTCTCTTGTCCACTCCTCCCATACTCGCCTCCAGGACTGCTCTAGAGTCTCTTCCCATCCTCTGGAACTCGTTACCCCAACCTGTCCGTCTATCTCCCACCTTGACTGCCTTTAGGCATTCCCTAAAGACTCATCTCTTCAAGGAAGCCTATCCCACCTCGACCTAACCACTGAACCTTCACATTCTCAAATAATTCATCCCCACGTAGCTACCTCCTCCATGTATCATTTCCCCCTCCTCTTTTAGATTGTAAGCCCTCAGGGGCAGGGCCCTCCTTACAGTCTTGTCTTGAATTGTATTGTAATTGTAATGTCTTCCTTATATTGTAAAGCGCTGCGCAAACTGTTGGCGCTATATAAATACTATGTAATAATAATAATATGATAATGTTGCTCCTGTAATGTCCTACATCATTGTTTCTCATCCTTTTTTCAGTTGCAGCACCCTTTTTAAAAGTATGCATAATCATGAGTCACCCCAGTC